TTGCCAGTTCAGAGAGTCCAGGTGGTTGAGTATCAGATTGTTCCATCTCGTTTCCCTTTGGGGTTGCTGTAGGTGGTCCAGAAGTCTGTTTTTGAGACTTGTTTATGTGTTTTCTCATTTCCACGGGGGCCAGGGGAGTGTGCTTCTGGCGCCTGCACGGCTCACCTTCTCTGCCCTAGGAGCTTGGGATGACAGCAGGGGAGCTTCCTTCTTAGGACCAGCTCAGCTTCTGTGCCCTAGGAGCGTGGGATGGCAGTGGGGGAGCTTCCTTCCAGGTGCTGGGACTGGCTCAGCTTCTCTGCCCTAGGAGCATGGGATGGCGGCAGGGGAGGTTCCTTCCGGGTGCTGGGACCAGCTCAGCTTCTCTGCCCTAGGAGCTTGGGATGACAGCGGGGCAGCTTCCTTCCAGGTGCTGGGACCGGCTCACCTTCTCTGCCCTAGAATTTTCCCCTTTTACTGGTCTTTTTTTTTATAGCTGTGATACTTAGTCTTATACTTAAATATAGAAATGGTGACTATACATGGATTTATTTATTGAATCATTGTACATTCATTTATTGAACATATATTTTTGACTCCAACCACTATGCTAGACATTGAGACTGCAACTAGAAATAAGGCAGAGTAATTGCAGTGTACTAAAATGGTTCTTAATCTGAGTTGCACTTTGGACTTCCCTGGAAAGCTTTCTAAAATTACAATGCCCAGGTCACACTCCAACTAATTAAATTCTAATCTGTAGAGGTAGGTTGTAGTCATTAATATCTTTCAAAACTTCTCAAGTGACTCCAGTGTACACCTAAGGTTTAGAATCATTGACCTAATAGAATCCAAAATTAAATAAATATTATTTACATTGTGATAAACACCATTAAAAGATGCATTAATAACTTGACAGTGTATGGCAGAATGTCTGTCTTAAAAATCACCACAACAGTGCCTTTAATTCCCTATGCTTTTCCAGAATCTTGTGATTGCCCATCAAGAGGTAGAATCTATATCCTCTGCCCTTGAACCTGGGTGAGCTTGGGGCTACTTGACCTAGTGGAGAATAGTAGACATCATGCCATGGGACTTTGACAGCTAGATCACAAGTATACTGTTTCATCCTGGCTGTCTTTTGGGATGCTTGCTTTTGAAGTCTACCCTCCATGCTATGAGGAAGTCCAGGGCACATGGAAAAGCCAGTGTTAGGCTTGTGGCTGATGGCCCCAGAAGGTTTCGGCCAACAACCAGTATCATGCACTTACACATGTAAGTGAGTGATCCTCAAATGGTTCTTGCTCCCAGCCTTCAAGTCTTCTAGCTGGGTCCTTAATTCACTGTAGAATAGAGATAAGTCCTCCTCACTGTACCTGCGATGAATTATTGGCACATACAATCCATTTCTTTAATGAGTAGTTATTTCTTACTACTAAGTTTTGAGGTCATTTGTTACACAGTTACAGTATCTTAGAATGTATACAGGGAGGCTTAACCTGGTTTCAAAAGTCATGAAAGTCTTCCCTAGGCAAGTAAAATTGAAGCCAAATGTGTAGAATGGATTGTAAACAAAAATATGTTAAAACTATAAACTTCTAGGAAAAAAAAACTGAAGAACTCTTTGCAGCCTTGGAATGAGCAAAAATTCTTAGCTTAAAAGGCATGAACCATAAAAAGAAAAATAGATGAATTAGCTAAATTAAAATTTGAAACATTTGCTCTGATAAGACTTAAAGGTCAAGCTTCAGTCTGGGAGAAAATATTTAATACATATATCTGACAGAGGTCTTATGTGGACTCAACAAAGTACTCTCACAACTTAATAAAAAGACAACCCAATTTTTTTTTAAACGGAAGGGGATAGTTGAAAGATTTGAGTAGGTAATTCACAAGAGAAGACATACAAATGCAAATAGGCAGATGAGAAAATATGTGGCATTGTTGATCAACAGAGAAATGCAAATTACAGCCACCCTGAAATACTACTACACACCCACTAGAAAATGGCCAGCATTAAAGATGAACAATGCCAAGTTTTGACAAGAATATGAAGGAGTTAAAACTTATATATACAGGTCTGATAGAAATCAAGAAATAAAACAACACATTAAAAAGCTGAGCTGAATTTAGTTTTTTAAGCTTATTTTCTAATCACATAGTGAACGGGATAGATTTTATGGAATTGGTGTAATTGAGTTAAATATTGTCCTTTCTCTTTTCTTTTTCAGTTAAAAGAGATGTTTCCAGGCTTTCGATTAGCACTTCCACCAAAACGCTGGTTTAGAAATAATTACAACGCTGATTTTTTAGAAGATAGACAATTAGGATTGCAAGCGTTTCTTCAAAATTTAGTAGCTCACAAGGACATTGCTAACTGGTATGTAACAAACTGAAATAAGAAATTATAAAAGCATTCTGACAACTGGCTTAAACTAAAGAATAAATCTAGGACCGTAGCTATTTAAGCATATAACATAGTGTCATTACTTGTCTTCTCTAATAAAATGCTTCATAAGATTTTCTTCCTTTCTTTCAATTAAGGATTTTATTTGGCATTTCATTTTTGTTAAAGCTTTTAAAAAGTCAGTAGAGTGAAAATTTCAGTGTACCATATACTCATAAACAATCCAACTGTAAATTTGATTTTAATTGCCATTTTTGCAGTCATGTAAACAGAATGGCTGACATATTAGCCAATTGTTGCTTAATATATCATGTAATTTTGAGACTAAGATCTTTTGTATTTCTCCAAAGCAATGCAAAAATATGAAAATTGTAAAGCTGGGTTGGTTTATCTAGAAATTAAAGTGAAAATGTGAAAAACAATTAAAAGGAAAAGGATCTAAATGAAATTTTTGCTTCTGGATATATTTATAAGAAAATTGCTTAATGACAATATCAGCTGGGTATCTCATTTGGGAACTTTTATCAGATAAATTAGAACTATTTTGAAAAAAGTAGGGAGTATTTATAATACAGTAGCATATTGTACATGTCTCTGTAACTGTCTTTATCAGTTTTTCCCCAAAAAGATGGAAAACAATTAAGAAAACCATTCTACCCCATTTCCTCAGTCTGTTTTTATGGAACCTTAAGTTATTCCTAAAACACCTACTATACATAAATATCTTTTTAATGTGTGCTGCCTAGGCTTAGTAGCTTTTTAAAACCCTACCTTATCCTTCATCTTCTTAATGGAAAACTACAAGCCACACCTTTCTTTATACTCCAGATTCATACACTTGTCTCCTTGACATCTCCCTCAGGTAACTCAAAACTTACCTCAAACCTAGAACTTAAAGGCATTGTCTCCAGACTGTCCTTTTCAGCAGCAGCATCTACCTGAAACATGCAAGTCATCCTTGACATTCCTCGTTACCCTTGCCTTCCTTTTCATTTGAGGTCACACTCAAGCTTGCCTACTTTTCTACATCCCTGCCATCACTCCAGTCCAAGTAGATGGCTCTGCCTTAGGCATTCCTACTGATTTTCCTCATACACTCTTATTTCTGTAGCCCATTAGAGCCATAGCAATCTTTTGTGACACAGTTTGATAAGTCTGGTCCCTGCCTGCCTTCATGTCATTCCAGCCTTGGGCTTTGTTATTCCTTCCCATTCTACATTCTTTTTACATCTGCCATATTAGTTTTTCTTTATCCACCAAAATCATTGTACCCTTTTGTCCCTCAAATATGCTATTTGCCTGAAAGGCAATATTTTACACTACCATCCCACCTAGCCCCTTGCCTGGCTAACTCCCATACATTCTTTAAATTTCAATGGAACTTCTCTCCTTTAGGTAACTGACCTTGGCCTACCCTTTTCCCATCACCACCAAACAGTAGGTCACTTCTTTTTCACAGTATTTGTACCGGCTTGTCTCCTCTGGTTTGAGAGTTAATCCCTAAGTCCTTGAGATAATATCTCCTGTACTTCTAGGTTGATACTAGTTATATGCCTGTTTTTAAGAGAATCTAGACAGTAATCACTTAAATGATCAATAGGTTTTAATTCTCTCTTGGACTCCCAGCTGAAAAAGACTATTTGGTACCGTTCAGTTCATAGTAATTTCTGTAATAATTTGATTGTATTTCTCCTACTAAATTGTGAGATATGTAAGTGCAGGTCACGTGACTGTTCACCATTCAGTGCCCAGTACTTATTATCACAGTGGTGACCCAGTCACCTCTCAATAAGTACTTGAATAAAGGATATCAAAATTCATGATTGTACTATTTATCAGAAAAAATTAAAGCAAACATGACAAACTTGGTGATCATGTGTCTAGGTACACTTGTGTTCCCCGTTTTTCTTTACGTTTTTGCATCTCAAAATAAAAAAGGAAAGGTTAGTTTTTAATTCAGGCACACTAAATAGAAATGAAAACCAACAAATTTTAAAATAACAAGGGAAGACTTTGAAGAAAATGTATTTTATACCATACAATAAAAGAAGACTTACAAATAAGTCAGCACATCCTTTCCCTGTTCTCTTGTCCATTATTCAGTAAACTTTTGTGTTGAAAATATTGTGATGACTTAAAATCAGATTTTTTTCTAGAGATGACTATATTTTTATCTAATCAAATATTAAATATGAACAACTTTAACTCATTTTGTGATTTTTTTTATTTTTAAGTAGTATTTTAGTTAAATATTCATATGTATCTTTTTTAAATTACAATAAATCTCAAGTTAAACATCACTAGGGACATTCAAGATGCTTCTAAACTGCTTACCACAAACATTGGTGGTGGTATTGCTCAATTCGTAAATAGGTATTCCAAGAAAAGAAGTGTGTCTTAAATAAGGTGGAGAAAGGTTTCATTTATTATTCTTAGACTGTAAACGATTCTAAGAAGTCTTAGATGAAAGAATCTAGTGTGCTTTGTATTTATTTGCCTATATAGTCATATATATCGTCAGATGTTTAGGGGATCCAGTGATATAATTTAAATTTAATTCAAAACAGAATATTTTAGGTTTGAGTACTTACTAACTCTTTATGGGTAATAGGTAGTATTTTTTATTTCACAGAATAAGGGATTTCTTAATAAATTATTATTTATCAAAAGTAGGGGGAAGGAAAGAAAGAGTTATTCATCAGTATCTTAAACATTTGCCCTGTATCGTGCTAACAGTATAAAAGAATCAAGGATATACTCACTGGCCTTAAAATTCATTCAAAGAAATTAGGCTTCTGTATGAACAAAATAAGGACTTTATGCATTGTTTTGCATGTTATAGGATCAGGTGTGTCCATCCTGTGGGCATGCAGCCCTGGACAGCCAGTGATGTGGCCTCACAAGATCATAAACTTTTAACATCATTATGTGATGTTTTAACAATATTTTTCATGACTCGATTGCATGTGCTGGAGCATGGACTACATAGGCGACAACAGACTAGGAGAAGGCGCAGTGCAGTACCAACCCTATCTCCTGCACCTGCCACATAGTTAAGTTGAAACTTGCATGTATGAGACATTACATGTGTTTGTTTAACTTGGCGATTAGAACACGGCCATTATGGATGATAATATTTCAGTCTACTACAAATACCATATATGTGTGTGCCTGTGAAGATGGGCATTTGTTATTAAGGAGATAAACTTGGGCAGCCAGAGCCTACAGTGTTGGACTAAGATTGCAGAGAATCCAAGATTATCAAGAAGTAAAGATCAATCATTAAAACTTGCCTACTTTTTTGTTTTGGAATTACAGTACTGTATATCACCTTATCATCAGTACTATAGATGATTCTCAACATGTCAGGGGCCGAATTACTGCAGATTCTGCTGTCAGTGTTACTATTCTGCTGCACCATGCAGCCAGGATTTTCACTCTCTGCAGTCTAAATTCAAGTAGTGGTTGGTTCATAAGATACTTCACTACACAAAAGCTAGATTGTATCTAAAATTCTAAAAGAATGGATGAAAATGGGGTGTTTTTTAATAATAGAAAAGGGAGGATGACAGTGATCTCAACACTTCATGAAAACATAAAACATCAATTAGTTGTACATTACCTGTTATGGTGCCTGTTAGTATCCTGTTACATTTAGAACAGCATTTTAAAAGTTGCTATCTTTATATGGTCAAATGTAATCATGGAATATTAACTATGTATTAATTATTCTTTCACTTTCCTTTCTGATATCCTTAGCACCTTATCACATAGTTCTTAGTTAACCTTCCTGAGAATTGGCTAAGAGCTTGCCATTACACAACTGTCAGCTTGCAGTATTTCAGCTGCTCTAGTTCTAACAATGCAGAAGTGCAAGAAAGTAAGAAGTGAAAGGACATTAAGGATTGTTAGTTTGACTGTTTCAAAAGAATATTGTTTCCAGATACATTTAGAAAATACCAAGTAAGAAAACAGATAAATGCATTTCAATATTCCCATGATAAAAGGATTTACTTAGATTTTATCTGGTCAGTGAATATTTATTTAGGGCTAACTGTATAAAGGATGTGACTATGCAAAGATGAATTAGACACTAATCAACTTTTCAAAAACCTGCATAAGATAGAAACATGCCCCAAACAGTGATAATGGATATAGCAGTAGATCTCTTTGAGAAAAAGAAATGACAGAAATTTTTTCTTGGGAGAATTAGAGAAAGCTTCATAGAGGATGACACCAGAGTTGAACTTTAAAGAAGTACAGTTGACCCTTGACTTACAAACTCAGTTAGTTCTTGAGGGCTAGTTGTAATTCTAGTTGGTCAGCTGAAGGCCCAGGCTCCTGTATGCAGCCTTCAAAGTCTTTCTCCTGTGTACAAGCAGATCTCAGTGTCCATAGAGAGACACTGGTCCAGGATTTCTCAATTAACCCCATATAGGAAAGAATGTTGTAATGTTCCTTCCAGAACTTTTTAAGGTTAAATCTGTATCTGAGACCATCTGGAAGCACAAGCAGCCAGCATTTGGGCCGTAACTCAAGACTTTGTTCATAAATTAAAACTAAAATTCCAGTCATAACCCAAATTGTACATATGTCAGGCCAGCCATAACTCAAGGGTCCACTGTAGTGATAATTGTATCACCAAAGAAAAACTTCCCAGATGAAAGATCAAAATACAGCAGCAGCAGCAAAGTAAATGCCCTGTATTGAAACAGCATGCAGCTCGGTTTGTCGAGGTGAATGATACGTAATAATAGTCTTATACTGCACAATCTGCCATAGTTAAAATGCAATTATTTGTTGTTTTATGCTTTATTTATTGCTCTAAAAACATTACATTATACAGCCCAGTAATGTTTTACTAGGCTATTATTTTTTTAAAATATTCCATATATATATTATTACCAATATTTTTCTTTTTTTAATTCTTTAAAATACAAGCTAAAGCAATGTATTTTCTATAATTACCATTC